TTATTAACAAACATACTATTTGTTATATGATAACATATCATCAAAAAAGACCAAATAAACATTTTTTGTTTATAAATGTAGATTAATTCTAAAATCTGACTACAGAGGATGATAGGAAGGGGAGAGGATGGATGAATCAATGATTGCCTTCTGACAAGGAAGGGAAAAGAGAGTTCTACTAACTTTAATACACAGTTGACAACTAGCCAGACACTTGTTAAAGATTGGGAAGAATTGTTTATTTACTACTAGGATTCTTTCCAAACTTTAACAATTGTCTGTCATCTGGATTTTAAAATTAATAGGAACTCTCCCTTCTTATGACACTTCCTGTTGACTGGTCATTATTCAAGTAGCTATACTATTCTATTCTATAGTTATTTTTTGGAAACTGTCCACATTTATTATATAACCACTGAAGATGAACTTTTGTGCTTGAGAGCATTTGAGAAATTTAATTGAAGTTTGTTCCTTTTCATCGATAAAGCATATTTGTTTATTATCTAAGGATTCACTTGAGATCCTCTGCATGCTATCTTTAAAATTACATTTTTAAACTAGAATAATAATAATAATTTTCTAAATGGTAAGAAAGTTCTGAGATTTTTCTAATTATTTGAAAGTAAAGTAAATTAGACGAAATTAGTATAATAAACTTTATAATGATTTATGAAATATAATTTTTATTCAAATTTTGAGATAAGATTCAGATAGAGTTGAAAATATATTGTACATATATGAATATTTGTTGAAAAACTCACATTAACAGCTACTATTTCTGAATTACTATTATCATAATCTACTTCAGTTGATATGGTTTTAAAATTTCCATTAATAATTCAAAATGTTTTTTGTTCTGAACTTGTTTGGAAATCATTATCTTGATCAAAGAAACATAACAAAGAAAATAGTAGCTTATTGATAAACTTTTTATTATTCATCCTAAGGCTGTTTTCTGGATATATTGTATATCTAGTAGTTTAGAAATAATATAATTAATTCAAATTGGAAACACTTTATATTTATAAAATAAATAATTATAACTTGGCTATGTTATCAAAAACTGTAATAAATTACTGATTTTTATATATAGATAGATATGATGTTAGTTGAAATAGCTTACTTCTGTCAAATTTTTAGACTTTTTTTTAGACAAATAGTTTCATAATAAATTGTTTTGTTTAGAGTTGGCAAAAATAGTTCTGCATATAATGATCGAGAAAAATTTTATAGAAGTTGAATAAAATTTGTTTAATTGTTTACTAAATCTAATTACTTTCTAGATAGTCTACAAGCAAAGATTATATTTATTTGAAATTAGAGATCATATGAAATTACAGTATTTACATGTTATAAAAATGTAGAAATGATAATTCATTAATATCAAGAAAAGTAAGTCTGAAAATAAAAAAAATTGTATTTGTGAAGATGGTATACTAGCCACTGTGGTAATTCATGTGAATTATTTAATGCTTCTTTAATAGTGATATTTTAATGAGTGCAGTTTCCCAATTTTTCCAAAAAATTTTTCTGATTTTTTTTAAAATCTGTAACGAAAGGATTACGAGACAATTCTTTAATTATACTTGGATATTGCTTAATCTGAGATGTCTTGTTAGATTGACAATGCCGGTATTATGAATTCATGCAAATGGTAAGAATTTTGTCCAGGTGGTGTGGAGTTTACAACCTTTAAACAAAATAAAATGCCCCAAAATAAATAATAATGATAACTAAATAAAAGCTATGAAAATAAAAGACAACACTTGGGCTTAACTCTGCACTCTTACTTTCACAATCATAAATGTACTATTTTAGATGTAATGTTGGATAAATTGAAATAAACGTCCAAATTTTGTGGTTTTTTTTTTGAGAGTTGGAAGTAACTGAATTGTTTAATTAATTAACTTTTTTACTTTCTATTTGTAATTTGTAAAACAAAAAAAAATAGTGTGTTATAAAATATAATTTAGCCAAATTGTTTTTATTCCTGGTTATGAACAGTGAAATTAAACTATTTTTATATATAACTTTATATTTTATTAGAAAAGACTTTTTTTTAATTTTATAATTTATATCATTATCTGATGTTATAAACAAACTAATTAATATAATCAATGTAAGAAATTTAATTATTTTTTATTATTTTAATTGTCTTTTTTTAGAAGACAGTTAACCTAAATGAATTTAAACTGTTAAATGTAATTTATATTTGAAAGCTGAATTTCACTACAAACAAGCTGTTTGTAACTATTTTTGTAATTTTGTTGATGTTTGTACAGGAAAGTTCAAAAATATTTCTGTTGGAAAAGTTTCTGGCTACGATATTTTAGATTGTTTTCTTCTCCATAGAATGGTTGTTTCTTTCCGTAAGTGGAAATGATTCAATTTATTATAATATACTACATATTTCTGGAGTTAACTTGATTAAGTTTAAACAGTTATTCTAAAAATATCATTTTTTATAATAATTTGGATATGCTACTTTTTATGATGATTTTTGGAGTAATTTTATATTTTTAATAATTATTTGTAATATAAAAATTCAGGAAAAATGCCTACAAATAAAAATACTGTGTTTTCTTGATATTGACAAGTGTAATATACAACTGAAGAAGAATGTTGATACGAGTAAAATTCAACTCTAGAGATTGCAGCAATAAGTTCATTGGAATAAAAACATTTTCAACTAGTTTGACTAGTCTTCAGTTACATTTGAATATAAAGTCGTAACATAAAAGAATGCAAGATAACAATTTAAATAACTTATATAAAAGAACATAAGATATAAAGTTTAAAAAATAGTGTGTATAAAGTTTAAAGGAACATTAAATGTTCCTTTTAAACTTTATACACTCTATTTTTTTTATACATTATATTTATATTTAAATTTTAAATATAAATATAATGTATAGGAATAATAAATGCTAAATAAATATAAAATAATTTTTTTTTTCTTCGTGGACTGGTAAAATTATGGATAATTTTCTGTGGATCTACAGTATATGCAACTATGAAAATTATGCTTATTTATTAAGTTTGTATAGGTTTAACTAGTTTTACTATATGTAACAAATATGTATAGTAACTCTAAATTACTTTTTAAATATCACCTGTAATCAACTGCACTAGCTTCAGTATGGTCAAATATTTTTCTTTGGACCAATAGAATTTTTTTGTAGACCAGTGGTTGAAAAACACTGATCTAAAAGATTGTAACTAGATAGAGTTCATAAAGTGACCTCCATGCATTAGAAAGCATGTCAATATCCCAATGATTGATGCATGAGACCTTCTTATTAAACTTATAAATTTGTAATTTCTCTAGATGGCTAAGAGTGCTGATATTAGTGGTAAGCCTGATGACTTTCACTTGTTCCCTATTCACTTGCATAAGCTGCTAATGCTGTGTTAGAGAGGTTCTTATCACTTGCGTATAAGAACCTGGCATAGATTATGCCCAGTGGTGCTTATGTAGATAAGTTTTGATGTAAAATGTTTGTCGTCTATTGGGGATGGAGTAAATTTCAGAGGCAGAGTTCTGATCATATGCTATCTATCATTTATTAAAATATGAAAGACAGTTGGGTTTTGTCTACATACCAATGTAAGATTGTTAGAGTTGGCTGTCCTCTTGTGTATCTTTTTATATTTTAAATTTTTCTCATGTTCCTTTATTTAAAACTTGTGTATTTTGTTTTTTTTATACTTTGTATCTTATGTTCTTTTATTTAAATTATCTTGCATTCTTCTTATACATTGTGATCTTTAGTTATATTTGAATATAACAATAAGATAAACTGGTCACTAACATTTTTATTCTGATGAACTTATTGTTGGAATCTCTAAAGTTGAATTTTACTTGTTTTCTTGATTCTAATGCACACCTGTTTTAGACTTTTATTGTTTCCAGAATTTATTGGGCACAAAGTTGACTTAATGCAGCTTTTTTTCATGTCATTTCTCCTCACTGTTTGTCAATTCGCATGAATTATGTTGTCTGTGTAGATGTAGTACGTTCATTCCACTACTTCAGTTTTGGTTTTGTAATCCAAATAGTATAAATCATTATTCTTTTTTAAATGTATACTTATTTTTTTCATTTTTAATTTTATAGATTTTAACTGTGTGTTTTTTTCATTTCACTTTCTTTGCTCTTGTAATATATATAACAGAAGGAAAGTATGATAATTGGTCAAAAACGACCCCCCCAAGGTTTTTAGTTTTGGACTCTGACCTTGAAACATCAAAAAATGCAAGAAAATTTTAGGGGTTTTTTTGTGTGAAAGCACAATTTTGTTTATCCTCAAATAATTCTTCTATATTCATTTGTTTATCCTCTTTGAAGCTTAATAACTCCTGTGTTTTTTGTCAAAAATTTCTGAAATTTTGCAGGGGGGATATCAATATCTGTGTATAACAGATATTGATGCTATTAAATTTTGGTAATTAAAAGGTCAATTGGGTGGGGAAATGCAGGGAGATTATGTATCATATCTCAAGTAGGGTTGGATTTAATGACAATTTTACTCATTATTAGCATTTAAAATTTTTTATAAAACCCTTCCTTACCCTCAAAATTAAGCTTTTTGTCATTTTATAGTAATTAAAAACAAAAAGTTTTTAATAAAATATCATAACAGATGATACCATCCAAATTATAAACGTTGCTGGGAAAGTTAAGCAACTTATTGCTGGATTTTTTTTAATATGGGGGATTGCTTATTGGGCATCATCATGTATCTTTTGCGTAAAGGTAATTATGAATTCTGATATATAAGAATAGGTTTGTTATATAAGAATATTGTATGATTTTATAAAATCATAAATTATTAATAATATTTAAGCAAATTAATACCTTGCTCTTTTCAGTTTTCACTTCTTAGACAATCAAGAATATTTAGATAGAATTATATATTCATATAAACATTTTTGAGTTTACTAATTTCATTTTCTAAGTTTTAATAATATTGATTATTATAATTAATTTTTGTTTTTAGGATCTCATAGTCCTGCCATGGATCCACTTTTCCAGGCATTTGCTGCACCACCTACTCTTCCTCCTGAATCCAAATTACAAACTTACTTAAACGTAAGTTATTTTCTTAAAATATTAATGTGTGCATGTGTGTTTGTATATGTTTGTACTTTATATAATAAGTAGTTTGAAATTACTTACAAATATATCAAAATTATATATAAATTTATTTTGTAATTGAAATGTAAATTATATAAAATACAAATTAAATACATTCCATAAAAAAATTACTATCTTCTAATGATTGTGTAAGCACCATATGCGTTTGCATGTGCACATACCTATCTAACAATCTTTAAATGATGCTAAGGGTCTTTTCCACAAACTTTATTTTTTTTTATTGGGATAATTGCAATCAAAATTATATTAAACTTTAGAAATTATATGAAAATTTGCTTATTTTGTATAATAATAATGTATTTATCTAATTTTTGTTCTCTATTAAAGAAAAAGTGGAAAACTGTTTATTGTGCTCACTTTTGATCTTGCCTGTACTTTACTGTACTCACTGTACTTTATTGTACATACTGTACTCATTTTGGGCAATTCTGGTTTTATCATCTCTGCATTTGAACAAAATGTTAGTTATTAAAAAATGCATAAATTAAAGGTTTATTAACTATAGTTATCATCATCATTAATTAATAGTAATTCAGCATATAATTAAAAAAATAAATGACAAGAATTTAAACTACCTGTACTATGAACAAATGAGAATTAATATTTAATGTTTAAAACACTTGTTAAGATAATAACAATTGTACTTGATGCACAGAGCATAAAACATCAATTTAAACTGTCTGTTTATTTGAAGCTAATGACAATTATAACTGAAATTCTAATCAGCAATTTTTAATCATATTTTAAATTTATTTCATTTAAAATGTATGCTCTCCATCTGAAATTAGTAGTGGCTTGCCCCTGTACATCATACTTTTCTTTTAACAATAGAGTCGTGTCAGTTATCTATTAACTCCTTTCAGGGGAAAGTTTTGAATTGAATAACATGACTTTTGGTTTGCATCAGAAGTTTGTATATACTTAATCGGGACCTCCAGCTCCTAACATTTCCTTACCTGGTCTTGTCTTTCATCTATCTAACTTCATTCTTGATATTAAGGAAAGATAGATGGATGGATGACAGTGGAAATTTATAGGTCTACAATTTTTTAAAATTGCAGCCCAATTACAATAAATGAAGTTATATAAATATATTCTGAGATGTGCTAATTCTGATAATTTGACAACTGATGATAATATTCAAAACTACAATAAGTAAATTATACTGTACTATACATATTAATCTGTATAGTATGAAATATAATAGTGTTTCTAAATGTAAGTTTTAATTAAAGTCTCAAAAACAACACATTATTATTGCTAACAATACTGAAATTTTTTTATGTTTAACTTGTTGACTATGCATTTTCTTATACTTTTTCCAATACTCTAAATTTCAGAAGACTTTGTTCTTTAAATAGAAAATATCTGAATAGATTTAATTAAAACAGCATTAATTTTAAAATTTTAATTCAAAAAAATTGTTTTAACTATTGTATATTATATATATACAGCAGGACCTCGCCAAACACGATCAATATGTTCCAAGATTCTCTCATGTAAGTGTAAATTTGTGTAAAAATAGCAAGTGTTATTAATTATTAAGTATTTCCTATACTAACATGCCTATCACACACTATTTTTAATTTAAATATGGTAAATAAACATTATATTAACAAGAAATAGCATGATACTATAAACCCTAAAAACAACTTTAAAAAATTTTGGAAGCTAACTTTTAATTTTCTCACTAAATCTAAAGTTTTAATTTTTTTTTCTAAAAATAAGCACTGTATAGCTTTGCTTCGGCTTATCAGAGCTACCATAATTGCTATACTTGCATTTTGGAGCAAGAATAATTGAGATGCTATGAGATGTCATGCATCTTAACAAATGGTACCAATTTAGAGCATAATTAAGAATTTTTATTTCATGTATATTTTTTTTCCCTTTCTTTTTTGGATTATCAATAGCAAAAAACCTGAAACTGTGTGTAACAAATCTCTATATGTCAGGGTCCTACTGTATTATATATACAAATTAATGATGATCTTAAATAAATAATTAGAATTATATTAATTTATATCTTGTATTTTTGAAATATTTGTGTTAATTTTAATTTTTTATACTTTTAAAATTTTCTTGAAGAATTCATTATTATAAAATGGATACAATAATACAAAAATACAATAAAAATTTTTATATTTTGACATTTTGTTTTTCAGAATATATTCCAACTTAGAACTTGTTATAAAGTTATAAATATTCACAAGTTTTCAGAGAAGGTACTGTAGTGCCATCGTCATACTGCTATTAAGATACTGCGTGAACTGTGGAACTGCAGAACTATAGAACTGAGAATATAATTGATTTTGAAATGACTAATTGAAATTCGTTCGTAACACCCACTTTATTAGAAATTATAAGGAGAGATTTTCAATCATATACAAGTTAAAATTTTTTTTAACGTAAAGAAAAAACTTGCTATATGCATCATGGGGAAATATCTTTTAAAATTGATAAAAGTTTAAATTAAGAGAACCTAAATCATATTTTTTGTTTCTAGAAAATAATTGGCAAAATTGACTTCTATAATTTTACTAATATTCCGTTGTTGTTATCTATCAGGAAACATTTATATTGCTGTATAATTCATAAAATAGTCCAAAATATTCACAGAATATCAGAATTAAGTCTAATGTAAAATTTTTGGATTAATGCATAGTCTCTTTTAAAAACTTGTATTTTCTAATATATTTTCAGATGGACAGTCATTTTCACCAATTAGTACTCTAAAATTATGGAATAATGTGAGAGAATGGCTACCTTTGGAATATCCATATATTTGAATACGTTATTAAAAGCAAAGCCTATGATTACCAAAAAATGTTTAATTATAGGAGTCTTGACTCTTATAAATATTTTTCAACTGGTAAAGTAGGTGAAATTTTAATTGTCACAAAACATTTGTATCTTTAAGTAATCATTCTGTATGGACTTGTGTATCTAATGATAGCAAAGTTATTTATCTAGCTGAATATACATTTATGACTAGTTCCCATTCTCTTAAATTTTCATCATCTGGAAATGAATATAGCTGGAATGGCTGAATATGTGGACAATCTTGAAGCACGATGTTTTTGTGTGTATTGCATACAGCTTTAAACCACTTGAACTCTCTGGCTATTATGCAGTTTACCACTGCACACTATCTATCTGAACTGGTTTTATGACATGTCACCAATGAAAAACTAAAAATTGCAGACCTACAGTAACAACTAACAGTATCTTAATGGCTACCAAAGACATGCCCTCATGTGACAGAATTCAAAAACACATTCTGAAAACTTGTGGATAATGAAATTTCTTTAACTTCTGACTTTTAGTATATTTATAATTTTACTGATTTATATTTTGGAAATTATAAATTAAGAAACTTACTCAACTGATCTATTAAATTTGAAATAAAGGAGTTTAAGTGAATAGTTATTGTTATTAATGTCTTTTTTCTGATATTCAGGGAATTGCACATTTCTTTCTCTTGTAACTCCATTTTCACCTTTACTAGCCTATTCTAATAAAATAGATTTTAATCAAATGAGCTTTCATTCAGTTTCAATGCATAAAATATAAGTTTTGCAAATATAATATCACTTTCTGATTGAATCATTTCTATTAATTTAAGTGTAAGTTTTCTTGAACCCTGACTTTTTATTGTTTATTTCATAAATTCTTTTAGTTTAAGATTAGATGAAATATCGATAAGGTTTTTTTCTTAAATTGAAATTTTCTTGGATCACTTTCAACACAGGACAACTAATCCATTGTACTTGGTGTTGTCAGCTTCCATCAATCTTAGATTTTTTTTTTTTTTGTTTGTTTTGCTTCTGTATTCATTATTGAATGTCTTAACTTCTCATTACAGTTTTTTAAAGCATTTTCTGCATTAAAAATGTAAATGATTTCAAAAAGTTTTATAATTTTTTGTATTCTGCTTTAAATGAAATTTTCATCATTCTCTCATGTCCTTCACTAACTTCAGAAACTAATAATTCTGTTCTTATAGTCCATTCTTTTAACTTTTAATCCAAACAGTTAATAGATAATGGATGACAAGAATTTTATAAATTTTCTTGTGTTTCCATCTTATTGATTAACCATCTGTCTTACTTTAAATTATCTTTAAACTTCTTCAGATTTCTTTAATAACTTAGTCTGAAGAATTTGATGTAATTCCTGCTGACTGCATTTTTATTTTCCATTTTTAATAACTATTTGTACTATTTTGTAGACATGGTTGTTGCTAGCCATTATCTCATCTTTTCCATACCATTATCTTATTTTTCAAAATTAATCTTGTGAATATTTGTGAGGTTGCGACCAAAGTTTTCAACGTGAAAATGTGAACATCGGATGTTCAGTGCTACCATCCTGTAAACCTAGAAGTTTAACAATGGTACTTGGACTGTCAGTGGAATCATGCATGATGTTTCAAATGCCATTGTCAAACTTCTAGGCTTACAGGATGGCAGCACTGAACATCCAACATTCACATTTTCACGTTAAAAACTTTGGCTGCAACCTCACTACTAATAACAATTTTATTTTATTAAAACTCGGTATGCAAATAGAAAACTTTACAGCCGATTGCAGAGGCAACGTTTAGAAATCACCAGCGGTTTACAGATTGATTGGGCAGATTGCTGTTCAGAAAAATTTCATTGCAGAGACGGCATTTCTCGCCTGCCACAATATAGACAGCGATTAGAAACAAGTTATTTGACCTATTTTCTAGACTCACTCAACAGCAAGTTTAGATGGCTTTTCAATTCGAGTCAGGGATGTGGAGTCGCGTAAAAATCTACCGACTCCAACTTTTCCTTACCAATCCGACTCCGACTCCGGCTAAAACACCAAAACTCCATGACTCCGACTCCACAGCCCTGCCAGGGCTGTGGAGTCGCGTAAAAATCTACCGACTCCGACTTTTCCTTACCATCCGACTCCGGCTACAACACCAAAACTCCTCAACTCCGACTCCACAGCCCTGATTAGAGTGGTAGCTTTGTTTGTGGAAATGTTTAGATAAAAACAGATATCATTGTTTTGAGAAATGTTGTAAACGGTACGAATCGACAAAATTATTCATTAATTAATTGCTTGGAGCAAAAACAACAAAATTAAATACTTTAAATTTGTTTTAAATGTTCCAATTTCGATATTCAAATGGTGAAGACTTAAAACTTCAATTAATTTAAATCGGATGCATTTATTTACAATTCAAGTATTGTGTCAGTTATAAAACGTTAATGCATTTCGAAGTCATTGTACTGTTAAACAGAAATCTATAAACAGATTTCTGTAATTTTAATAATTACAGAAATCTGTTTATAGATATAAAAAAAAAAGTAATATTAATAATAAAATATTTAAAATTATTCATTTCGATAGTTACGAAGGGCGACAGTAATAAGATGTCAAAATATTATAATTCATTAAAAATCTATTCCAAAGACAAATTTCGAATTTGGTATAAATTTTCTGAATATGGATTTGTTCATATTTTAAACCATATTGGTGACGAAATTAAATATCAAAATGGAAAAGGATTGTCATTAATTGCTGAACAATGGTTTTGATGGTCTTAAGATTTTATTTCTGGAAGCTTTCGGAATATAGCTGGCGACCATTTCTGACATCACAAACAAATAATCCGATTGGCCGAACGACTCCTAAAACGGGAGTAAGAGCCAATGTTTTTCCGAAGTTCATTTAGAGAACCGCCATAAATAGACGATTGTCATCTTTGCAGCGCATTTTAATCCGCGGTTCAGCCAGCAAATGTCTATAGGCCATTCTGTTGATAAACGTCGTTTAACATAAACTCTGTCTCTGCAATCGGCTGTTAATGTTTTTCAAGCACACATGCTAATTTTCAGAAGTTAATTTGAATCAAACATAAGCAAACACTTGTTTGTTTGATTCAAATTAATTTAAACTAATGAAGATGATTGCATCCAGGTTTTTGATAGTTTTGTGATAATTAGATATTATCTTATTGGATCTATCATACATGGGTAAGGGAAATTACCCATGTATGATAGATCTGAGAAGATAATATCTAGTAATTGCAGAACTGTGAAGCATATGTGTCTGACATTTATTAAAATGCATAAAAACGGAAAACTAATAAAATAAAGCATTATTAACCTTCACTTATATTTCAATGATATTAATTTTATCTAGAATTTATCTTGTTTTTTGCTGGTTTTTAGAGCCTACTGCTTATAATTAAAATTGTTAAATTATTTTTTCATTTTGTATTATTTAAATATAGAATCAATTAACTCATATTAAGTGACTAAGTCTAATAAGTGATGATAAAAAAAAAATGAAGATGATTGAATAACATTATGATTTTTGTTCAGTTTCAATAACATATCTGCTATTTTTCTGACTTAATATGCAATTATTCCTGTATAAACATCTCAAAGCTTGATATATTTTATTATAAGCCAAACAAATTGTGAAAATAAAAAGTAACCTGATCTGTTCTGCTTTTTTTTTTGTCTGTCTCTTAAGGAATTTTTGTACTTTAGAATTTTATAATAATTTTTTTCTTATTATATAATAGATCAGGAGGATCTTAAGTTTTTTTTTCAATTTGGGAGCAAAATTGTCCTTCTGAGCTCAAGTTGTGGACTGTGTCTTCTTTTTAAGAGTATTTGGAAAATAAGATATTTTGAGTTTTTAATTAAATAGCAGAGTATAGAATTAGACTTAAATTTGCAATATAATTATATATTATCAATAATAAACCTATCTAAATCAGCATGATTCATCTACCAGTATATTATTGATAAGTCACTAGTAAATTTTTGTCAAAGTAAGATATTGATAGGTTTAGTATAATATATAAAAATTTGTAAAAGCATTTCATCAAAAGTGAGAGTTTTGGAACAGTTAATTGAAATTCTTTAAAAAACAATGTTGAATTTAGGAACATACCTATTTTATTCTGTTACTGATGAGTGCAAAAAAAAAAAAAAAAAACAAAAGGTATGAGAAATCACATTTAGAAAAATGTTGCAACTACCAAATAACAATGACACAAGCCAATTATCTACGAAGATTGTGTTGCCAGTTAGATCACCCTGCTATAGATGATTTGAAACAATATTTTTTTAGTCCACGATGAAGTAATGAAGTTATCCATATTACAACATACCAGTAATTAAACTTTTGTTTTTCACAGGATAAAGAAATAACATATATAAAAAATAAGCAAGACCGATAGTTTCATTATATTATTTTTGGCTTAATATTAGCCCAAAAAATCTGTCTGTTGATATTTGGCTAAAGAAATAGTATAAAAGGATCACTTTATATGAAAATACATGCAAAAAAACAGTATAGTGATGGTATATTTAGCTGTCTCATGTATTTATTTATTTGTTAAACAGTATACATTAATATGAAATTAATGAAATAGTAATATCAATAAGCATTAATTTCTGTTGCTTTTTAGCTTAATTATTTGATTTAAGAAATTACTTTGTATGTAATTTAAGTATATATTAAGTTAATGTTGAATGTTTTTATAATTTGCTTTTAATTTTCCCTTTTATCATTTTAAAAATTTAATATTTTACAATTTTGTAAACAGGCCACACCTCAACCAGTCTCTACTTCTGTGGAGAATTCAAAGTTTTTTGTGCCTCGTGTCAGCTTGCCAACAAGTGGAGTAACAAGTGCCATGGGAGCTCTAACAATAGATTCCAACAGAAAGGTTATTAATTTTTATTGTTTTAATTATAATTTGTATATGTATTAGAATTAATAAAATTATGCAAAATTTAATGTAAAATAGTGGAAGTAAAATGTAAATAAAAAATGTGAAATGCTTTTATTCTTTTAGATAGAATTAACAAATTTCTATAAAATTAATTATTAGTATGTGTGCAAGTATATATCTATGTATGTAAAAATAAACTGTATTCAATATAAGTGAAATATCTATATTGGATAACATGTTAACATTATTTTTAATTTTAACATACAATCTTTGACCATAATGTGTAATTTTTAGTTGTGTATTGAATTTAATATAAAACCTACTATAAAGTTAAATAATGAATAGTTTAATATTAATTTAAAATTTAAATTAATAAAATGGCCAGGACAATAATAATATTAAATACATAAGATATAAAAATAGAATAAACAATAAATGTCTTTGTAGTATGTTTTTTGAAAAACACATCTCAGGAACAACAGTTTCTACAGCAGAGTTATTTTTGACGTGTTTTCTATTATACTTATGTAAAATTTTAAATTTATTTATTTATATAGATATATTTGTTTGCTCCAACATCTAAAAACAATAGTAATATTCTTGATGTTATTTTTATTCAAATAAAGAAATGCAGATTCACATAGCTCACACTAATAAAATATAAAATCAAAATTTCGTATTCACATCCTCTGCAGAGACAAATCCAACCAAAATTCAGAATATGCAATCTGTGAGTGACATTTTTGAGGAAAAATAGTTTTAAAACCCATCACATGATATTTGAAGATGTGAGCAGAAAGAAACTGTCAAATGTGCGATATCTAAGAGTGCAATTGTAAAACAAATGAACCAGAAACCTAAATGTGAAGTGTAATGAATAAATTTTATTATGCTGTTGTTATTTACTTAAAGGAACTATCATAACTATCATGCTGTAGTGTCAAAAATATAATAGAAATTACTCAGTATGTCTTCTGTTTTGAAATATCAAAAACTACATCCTGTAATAATGTGCTCGATAATAGAATATAACTGATCTGTAGTTATATTTTTTCAGAATATTGTTCTATCTTTTGAGATTGGAAAACCCAATGCCAAAACAGCTCTGAAAATCCATGTTTTGAAGTGTCTCATATCCAAAAATCAAAGGGTTTAAAATGAAGTGAATAAGGTTTCTGTACCTCTATGAATGGTAGTTTCTATATAAGCAATTAATCCCAAAGGATTGTCTTTGAGTTATAAGCTATATTGAAGATAAAACTAATATCAGACACAGAAAAGTCTTGTGGATGACATTTTAATTATATGGAAATTTGACACACACATTGTCTGAGAACCTGATAAACAGTATGTTAAATAACATGATAAACAGCTGGGCTCTTTTTGAAACTAGAACAAATATCAGGCAAGAAGTATAATACTAGATATATATTGTGAAGAGTACTGGTAAAAATGGAATCGCAATCTACAGAAAACTGGCTTTTACATACTAACCATTACATTCAAGAATCCTGCAACTTACAAGAAAGCCTCTTTTGTGCATATATAAACATCCTTCAAAACACGATTCATTAGTATAAAGCTGATATGCCGATATATCTGTATCAGATAGGTATTGGCTACATCATCATAGTTCAATCAATGTAGATATACGCTTGGTTTGCCACTCTCTTGGACTTATCTTGAAGGGGCATTAGGTAGGAAGTTGTGCTAAAATGCTCATTTATTGTTAGTTGTGAATTAGTATAAGATTTAATGTCTTTCATATTTTTTGTGTGTTTTCTTATTTACCTTGGATATTTTACACAATATACAGTTGTGTGAAAAGGAAGCCAAAAATGGCAATTTTATTATTCCTGTTGCTCATTCCATGAAGTGTGCATTTCAGATCTCTGGAGTATTATTGTCAACATTAAAAAATGTTTGCCAAAAAGCAGTCAGTGAATATGATCCAAATTTTATTTTATCCATAAAGCATTCAAAGAAATTCTGGAAACAATGGCATTGTGATGTGATTGGAAGTGCAATCCATGGTTTCTATGTCAGAGTGAAGAAAGTCTTTTCAATTCTTAAATTATACTAACTGTATGAAAAGAAAAGCTTGAATTCTCCTTGAAAAAAAGAGATTTGCCTCTTCAAAGCACTTTTTTCTTCTAAAAACAGTCATCCTACATGTAAATATTCCCTTCTGTATCTGAAAAAAATGCCACCCCTATTTTACAAATAGATCGGTTTGGTTTGCATGTGTCTACTTGCATAGAAAGTTGTAACTAAGTTGACCTGACAATAATTTAATATCAATATTATGAAATTAGAAATTATTTTCTGCAATTTTACAGAAAAATAACTTTAACAATTAGAAATTGAACCTGTTATGCCTTATAAAGTAGCTGTTAAGCACAACTTCTCATTTATGCATAACTTGCTCTTGCTATTTATATCCTTATTCACTAATTTAATGCACATTTTCAAGTATAATTTTTAGTAGTAATCTATTAAATTTAGAGTTAATTCTATTTCGCAAGTTAGAAAATTCTAAGAAAAGTTTTATCATGCCAGATCTTTTAAATTTTAAATAGCTCACTTTAAATAATTACTGTATTTATCAGATTCAAATATCAAATGGAAATTTATTTTAGTTACCATCATCAAATGCTGCTGGTTCCCAGTTTATGCCAATATCCACAGTTATTGGGCCAAATCGTCTTACACACAGTGCAAGTTCACCTTCATTTACTCAGTTTGGAATTGGACCTACTCAGTCAGTCACTTCAGCATTTAGTCATTTTGGAGCTGTTACAGGTATTTGTTTAGTATTCTATTTATTAAATCTAGTTTTTACATGTGTAAAGTTTGATATTATTTACACTGGGTCTTCCAAAATAGAACATTACCATTTAAAATTATTATAATTATGATAATTATTATCTGAGAATGTTGTAATGTACATTGAAATGTTGGAAAACTGTCCAAGTTTTACATTTGCTCTTTACAGTTTCTCAGTGTTATGCCCTCATGTTACATGGCATACTTCCACCTGATACTCAAATTCTTATACTTGCTACAACAAATCTGTTGTCACTCCTCCTATAGCAGCCACAGTTCTATTGTTCCTGAAGTTTCTTCAGATTACTCATGATGCACAATGATGAATGATTTTGATTTTGTGAGCTGCAAAATACAAAGTTCCTTCTCTGTGGCAGAGTCATCATTTTCATTTATGGTACTTCCTAGAGCTAATAGATGATAAGACATTTGAATGCAGATGGGAGGTGAAACTTGGACAGTTACTTTATCAATTGGTATACATCGCATACTTCTCAGAAAATAATTAACATAATTACAGTAATATAAAATGATAGCATTCATTTTAGAGGATTCTGTATTATAACAATATACAAATGGGAGAAATTGCACTATTCCCTCTTATTTCAAAAACAGATTGTTGTATAAATTAAAACCAAAGTCCAGACTGTATTAATAATAAACTAAATGATACCAGGTTGTTTACAGCTTACAAGATCAGTTAATCCAGAAAATTTGGCCTAAAGATATAGATCAAATTCTTAAGATTAATCAATATTCTCAAAATACATGTCAGTTAGTTCACTTTGTTTATTATCAGATTGTCATTTGTTAAGGAAAACAAGATTTTTAAAGAGAAATAAAACAACTAAAACAGTTGTTTTCTCTTTAAAAATCTTGTTTTCCCTAACAAATTTAAAAGAAACAACTTTTAAATTTAAGTAAAAATATATTTTGAGACAATCTCATCTTTAAATCAAATCTTAAAAACAGTTTTGATAACTTTAATTTTTTGAATTTTATTTAACTTTACATATACTTTGTGAAAAAGAGAAGAGAAAATAACACTGAATTGTAGTGCACAAAAAGTTTTGTGCATTTCTTTCTCTTGACATAATGCTCATCTCTCTTGGTTTCTAGGAAAAATAGAAAAAAGTTCTTTTTATTTTCTATTCTAAAATTTGCACTTTTCATCAAGGATACCAATAAAACAGACATGCTTACTTACACTTTCATACATTATCTACATATTTCAGGTAGTATATTATCTACGTATAAAAATTTTAAATTTGAATAAATATTAAATTAAACCTTATATAAATATCAAAAGTATATAATACTTTTTTTTTTGTTTTTTAATTTATTAAAAGCTTTTTTTTTAACAATAAACATGTAACCATTTACTATGCAGTAAAAATTGACTAATCTAACATTTTTGGTTTTCTTTTAATATTTTTTAAGAATGGGGTGAAGTTTTAGTAAAAACTTTAAATTTTGAACCGACAATATGGCAAACACGCAAGCATTTTTTATTATTCTTTTGAAATATGAATGTTTATAAGAAAAGAGTTGTGAAAAAATAGAACATGTGCATTCTGTTCTTTTTTTCATTTTAACAAAGTATGAACTGGCTTCAAAATTAAGTACTGCATGCCATGGGCAATGCAATTTCTAAGAACAGGATAAATTATTGATTGTTATAGTGATCTAATCTGTTGTTTGGAATGTGTATCTGCATTCCTTAATTAACCTTCACCTTTGTCTTCAAAATTGTGGCATCGAGAGTATACCTAGTATCCAAGAATAAGTCCAAGGACTTATCTTTTTAGTGGATTTATTTACAAAAATATCTGATATAAGATTATTTTATAGAAATTATAATTGTTTTTAGAATATATACTGGGTACAGAGAAATTAACAAATTTCATCTGAAATTAATTGCATTTTAGAGATAATTTTCAAATTAATATAACTAGTTTAAATATCTTGTAGGTATTTTCTGTATGTATATCTCAGTTAAAAATCACCACACAAAAAAATTAACGGTTAAAAATAAAATTTTCGTAATGATTTTGTAAACTATGCAGATTAAGTGGTCATTGATTTGTATGTCCTTCATATATGTGTTAATTATCTTTATTAATTAAATTATAGCTTTTTAATTAATTGGATTTGATACAATATATTTATTTAGTTATTATCGGGGTCATGTGATTTAAGTATGTTTGTGGAATGTTAAGAAATTGATTTATCAGCATGACATTATGAATGGAAAAAGTGGTGGAAAGGATAAAAATTATTTCAAAATGCTTGAAAACATTGTAAGAATTTATACTAAGGATATACAAATCAATGCCTAGAACAGTTAGAAGGATGCATTAAAAGAAGAAAAAATTATTTTAAACACTTTTCTGTTAACATTTTTAACATAATAAATGCATAATTTTATGTTGCTTTTAAGAATAAACCAAACTGTCTTTTGGTGTGACAGTTGTTTACTTGAAAAGTTTTTGATTACAAACAAATACTTTTGACTTTTTAAAATGTCATCTTTAGGTTAAGCATATTACTATTACAATTTTTTAAAAATTATAATTTGAGTAGTATATGCATTTTGGAAAATCAAAAGTATTTATTTGTAATTAAAAACTTTGCAAGTAAACAACTGTTATGCCAAAAGACAATTTGGTTTATTCTTAATCTAACATAAGTTTAGCATTATTAAAGAGCATATTTTTAAATGTTACTTTTCTTTGTTTTTTTCTTCTAAAGCAGTTCATATTAACTCATCTTTTTGAGAAATCCAGACTCCTGTATATTATCAATGTCAACAAAAAACTGCCACTACAGATTGAATGATTTTTTTTTTCTTTTTGGATTATTCAAAATTTTTATTTTTTTTAATAGTTTTGAAGAAATCTTACATTTATGTACTCATATTTATTATGAAATTTGATAACTTGTTAAAAATCAAAAAAGGATTCTTTCATGGAATAAATTTCTTCAGCATCATGAAATGTTGAATGTTGTTTGTTTATTATCAAAAAAACAAGGTAACTATGGCAAAATTATAAGCATGAAAAATGATCTATAATTAATTTAAAAATTAAAAACTGTTTTGTGTAACTAACATCAAATGACAAACATTTTAACAAAATTCTTACCAAACACAAATCTTTTTTTTCTCTGTTATTTGTTAAAATATACTTTGATTAAAGTTAATAAATTTCACTAAATCCATACAGAAATAATTTTAACAAATTATACAGGGCATCCAAAAAGTTACTGTGTAGTGAGAAATTTCTAATGGCATCAAAGTTAAATATATGGCATTGCACACAGGATGTATAAGGTGTCTTGCATTTCTACTCTGCAGTAGATGCCATTACTATTTCTTCAGATGTTTTTGTTTTTGGAAGACTTCTCTATTGATTATAATCTTCCATGGAATCTGACCTCACTTCTCCGGACCATTTCACTCACACCATTTTAGTATCTCTGGGGTCATTTCCAGCATTTGCTGTAGGAGAAACTGCAATATTGTATGCAAAGCTTTACTTAAATCTTTTCCATTGTGCAGTAACGTTTTGGACACCTTTTAGTATTTGACATAATGATACTTTAGTTCTTACCTGAAAATGAAATCAGCTAATACAATTTGTCATCAAAATCCTATTTTCCAATTTAAAGTAGATATTGTAGTAATAAACTGTGTGTGAAGTAAAAATCAAATCAAAATAACATTATAATTGAATGGGAAAAGAAATCAGAAATGTTTCTTTCACACATCAGATATAGGGTGCGTTTACTTCTGAGTTAGCAGTGCTAATTCTGATAACCGGATGTGACGTCATTAGCATGTGTATTTGTGCTTGCTTGTCCAATTCGAAAGTGAACACATACGCTAACAAGAAATATGGCTGGAAACCGCCATATTTCTTGTTAGCGTATGTGTTCACTTTCGAATTGGACAAGCAAGCACAAATACACATGCTAATGACGTCACATCCGGTTATCAGAATTAGCACTGCTAACTCAGAAGTAAATGCACCCATAATATTCTGAATGATAATATATGAATAGAAAAAGCAAATATTTTAAACATAAGATTTTATTCTACATTTTCCAAAAAATAGACTCTTCCAGTATAACAATAGTTTATATATCTGCTATAGAGTGTAACTGTAAGTGGCCCACATTTCCAATGTCATTCTTGTATCTTGCATGCTTGTAAAACTGTCAGTTAAAACTTTGGATTTTCAATGATTAATGTTAATTGGAGTTTCAATTGATTAATAAATTTGCGTGCTCTAACATTGCATTCTGAGACATAAAATTAATAACAGCTATTTTCATTGCCTTAATTTCTGAAGTATGGGTATGAACTGTTATAGAACATTCTATAAATACATGAATATATTTTAGTATGACAAATAAAACAGCTAATCTATTTTAGACTTTATGAAATTATTATTTATACTGTAATGATAATATATCTTAAATTTCAGATGCAAGTGGGAATAGAATAAGCTCAGGCGTAGGTCACAATTCCAGTTTGTCTCCTCAAGAATCACCATTGTTAAATAGGAGGAGTAGATCTCCTCTTGCTTCAAATTTCTTAAGCGCACATGGCACCACTTCACCTTCTCCAAATCATGATCAGTTTGTTTCAGCAAATACAATGATTCAAGTAAGAAAAATAATGCTATAAGACTTCTCTAAAATTCTTTTTCATTTAGAATAAAAAATTTTTACAGGAATCAGTTGAGGGAACAACATACTTTTATACTCCAGAGGAAGGTACAACAAATGAAGAAAATCAGCCATTTCTTATGCCTGACTTTCATATATATTCAGGAAATCCTGCTCATATTGAACACTTAAAGCCAAAGGCCAATGCTCCTTCATTTTTCCTTCCAGATGAACTTCGAATGGTAAGGAAGATTTTTAAAAAGTGAATTTTTAGTGTAATTATGGAACTAATATTTTTTTCCACCCCTTAAAGGATATTCTTCATCGTCACAGTTTGACAATGGCCCAAGCAAATCCGGAACAATATTCTGGTAAGTTGTTATTCCATAAAAGAATTTGCAACAGGCATGGAATAAGAGTAATAGCTATTAGGTTACTTTTTAATAACTATTATTTGTTAGGTAAATAGTGGGTCATTGAAGCAGCTTCAGAACTGTTATATTTCTAATAAATATGACTTTTTTATTGTCATGCTGCCATTAAACATCACAGAAGAAATTCTTTGGGAAATAGAAGAGTGTGATAAAAACCTTTTATCTAGTAAGCGAGCGTTGATTTATATAAAACTTTAATCATATAAGCATCTATTTATTCGTCTGCATTTGTACGTGTGAAGATTCAAAAAATGATAGCATTTAAAAGAGTAAAAGACAATAAATCCCAATGTCTCGTTACTGTAACGGTTGCAATACTTCAGCATTTCTATTTCAGATTTGCCTGCTGAAGTTGATATTTACCACAATCTCTGTCCTTTGGATTCTCCTTCCAATAATGGTCCAACAAAGTCCAATACATTTGGTTTTGTGACATCTGTGTACAAGGCAACAAATATGAAAACTGGTGTTCATTATTGTTTAAGAAGGATACATGGTAATATATTATTGAAAATTTTTATAGAAAATTATATTTTATTTTTTTTATAATTTTTTAATTATGATAGTCTTACATTTAGTAGTTTGTTTGTTTGGTTATGGCAACACAACACTTGGGAGATCTGCCTGGGGGGATGGTTTCCGGGAGGTCTTTTTAAGAGAAACTTGCCCCTATTTTAGCATCACAGATGTGGAGAAAACCCAGAAAACTCCATGTAGGCAGCCTGTCAAAGCGAGGCATGAACCCACAACCAAACTCCCAGTGTTCAGAGAACAAAGACCGCTTGGCCACTGGTGGGCCTTACATTTAGTAGTAATTGAACATAATAATTGAATTAATTCATATGCCTTTGTGTCCTTATTATATGTAATTTATTATATAAATATCTACTAGGACATTTCATATTATTAGGATTTATTGTACTGATGTCCAGTTTCTGCAAATTGAGGAAAATTATTCAGGAAAAACAATCTTTTATTGTTCACCTGGTATTTCACCTGTACATACTCTGTGTTTCAGACCTTAAAATCCCTCAACCAGCTTGTTTACATTAATGAGGTGCTAAAACAAGATTTTATAAAATTAAAACAATATTCTAAAAAAAATTTGTTCTTGACAATAATACAATTAAAATGATTTAAATTACAGATTTTGGTTGTTAATTACATAGAGATTTAAATAAATTAATAGAAAAATTCTTACCATATTCAAACAATAAACCTGTATATAATAAACACAAATGTAAAAATTTAAATATTCAAAAAAAAAAAATGATGATTAAAACATTTTATTAAATTTAAGTATCCTTTGCTTATCTTTTCTTGTTCAATTACCTTATTGCTAATTTTATTCCCTTTATAGCGATAAGGTAATTGAACAAGAAAAGATAAGCAAAGGATGCGCAAGTTTAATAGAATGTTTTAATCATCATTTTTTTTTTTAATATTTAAATTTTTACATTTGTGTTTATTATATACAGGTTTATTGTTTGAATATGATAAGAATTTTCCTATTGATTTATTTAAATCTCTGTAATTAACAACCAAAAATCTATAAATCATTTTAATTGTATTATTGTCAGGAAAAAATTTTTTTTAGAATATTGTTTAATTTTATAAAATCTTGTTTTAGCACCTCATTAATGTAAACAAGCTGGATGAGGGATCTTAAGCTCCGAAACACAGAGTATGTACAGGTGAAATACCAGGTGAACAATAAAAGATTGAGAAAACTTATTCAAGAAAAACAATTTGCAGAAACTGGACATCAGTACAATAAATCCTAATAATACGATATGTCCTAGTAGACATTTATATAATAAATTTACATAATAATTGAATGTTTTTGATAACTGTGATATTCATCAAAGAATGTAAATAAATTACATCATCAGATTTAAAGTGATATATTTAATTTATAAATATACAAATAAACAAGCAAAAATTATTGTGACATTGTCACAATGCCAGGCTGCAATTTTTAATCATGTTTTTAATTAATTTAATTTAAAATATATGCTTTCCATCTCAAATTAGTAGTGTCTTGCCCCTGTACTGTACATCATACTTTTTATGATGACAAGGTCATTCCAATTATTTATATAATTCTGTTCTGGGAAAAATTTTTGAATTGAAGCCACGTGACTTCCAGTCTAGACTGGAAGTGTTATGGACAAAGTGATTAATACGGGCATTATGAATAATGACCAACAAAATCGGGCATTGTAATAAATTTCAATAATTTATCAAATTGACCAGTCATTATGAATAGTGCTACCACCTAGTTGGGCAAAGTGATAATAATATGTTGAGGAGTGGTCATCTGACATAGATAGCCAATCAGAACTTACATCTTACTTGCTCACGCGTATTGCATTTAGTACCGAATTTTAAATTTATGTGACCAGTAGTTAATCTTTCTTCTTTGACAAAAGTAACGATCATGGAGGAATCATTAAGTGATATGAATAATCGCTTCAACAACCGATTAAACGAGTTAAAAACCAAAAGGGCTGAAGAAGTAGCATATGGTCTTTTAGATATTTTTACAATTTTCGGTGCACCAAGTATTCTACAAAGCGATAATGGCAGAGAATTCGCCAATAATATCATCAAACAAATGTGTAATATGCGGTCCGAGTTAAAAATGGTGCATGGAAAGCCCAGGCACTCACAAAGTCAGGGTTCAGTAGAAAGATGTAATCAAGACGTAGAAAATATGCTTAGTTCTTGGTTGGAGATTAACAATACTAACAAATGGTCGGAAGGATTACGTTTTGTACTACTGATGAAAAATCGAGCGCATCATACTGGTATAAACTGCAGCCCCTATGAGGCCATGTTTGGAGCAAAGTTAAAAGTTGGACTAAAGAATTTTATACCCAACGAATCGTTGTTCAACGTTAATACGGAAGAGGATCTACAGAGACATTTTAAAACTATCAACGAAGTAAGTCAAAGTTGCTCAAACTCTGAAAGTCCGGGTACCGTCCAAGAAAACATTATGAAATATTATCTGATAATGCCACCCTTACATAGCAATATAACTGATGAAGTTCAAAGATCTACATCGTCTTCACGTGAAAAAAATCTAAACCAGGATGTTATTAGTATTACAGAATTGGTGAATGAAGAAGAAACAATCCAAACAATTGATCCAAAAAAAGAAGAAAAAATAAGAAGTGTGTCTAAAACAAGGGCTTTGTTTAATCTTAAAAAGCAAGCAGAAAAAATGATTAATACATCAAATTCCAAATACACAGCAGCTATTGTTGGTGATACAGTAAGGATTCGTGTACCTGATGAAGATCGAGCCCGCAGTGATGGAAAAAATATTTTAGGTGTCGTTGTTGCGGTTAAAGATAAAAACCTTTACAAACTGGGTACCAAACATGGCATATTAAATCTATTATATTCCAGAAACCAATTTACTGTTTGTAAAGAAAACTTTATTTCTGTTGGAGATGTACCGGGTGCAGAAATTTCGCTTAGAGAATGTGCAAGAATGTCATCAATTCCTGATGGCCACAACTATAGTTAATGCTGCTGAAAAATTGGTTGAAAATCTAATAGATGCAAATGCTACCAAAGAAAAAAAAATTATGTAATTCCAAATGTCATGAAAATGTTAATTGCTCAAATAAATAAACTAAAAAGCATTTAATTTTTTATATAATTTATACCAAAAATTGTTAATAATACTTTTCGTTAATATTAGTTTAATTAATATAGTTAATAGTACTTTGATATAATTTACAAAAAATAAATATTTCTAAATGAAATAAGTGGAGTTTTTTTAATCAAATTTAAAATTCTGTACTAAACGCTGTACGATACGCACACGCAAGTCAGCGTGCCGATTGGCTAGCGTATGTCAGATGATCACTCCTCAACTTATTATCATCACTTTGCCCGACTAGGTGATAGCAGTACTGGTATTCATAATGACCGGTCAATTTGATAAATGAATCAATATTTATCACACTGCCCTCCCTATTTGGTCATTATTCATAATGCCCGATTAATCACTTTGTCCATAACAGAAGTTCAAATATAGTCAGTCAGAGCCTTCTGTCCCTAAGCTTTCCATATCTGGTCTTGACTTTTATATATTTAACACTGTTCTCAAGATTAAGTAAGGACACTCAGACAAACAGACACCAGTGGGAATTTATAGGATACATTTCTTCAAATTGCAGCCCAACAATAAGTTGTATAAAAACATTAAAATTTACAACTTTATATTAATATTTAATTGTCAGAACATAAATAATAACCATTTTATATTCTATTCTTAGCAACTTTTCTATAAAAAATAAATAAATTTTCATTTATTATGGCCCAATTTGTAAATTTTTTTCTTTGTCACATATCAAATTTATTAATTAATATAATATTAATATTGATTTATTTAGAATATCTATAATTAACAAATTGTAGTTGTTCTAAATATTTATAATATATTAAGTATATTTGTAGTTATTACTAGGATTAATCAATTTTATAGCTGCAAATTTGACACCAGTTATGTTTTTTTTATGCATGATTATTATATTCAGACATGTAAACTTAATATCATTTTCATGTTGCATAATAATAATACAAGAGAAGATAACTGCAAGAATATTAATATAAATCATAGAGGAAATGGGATAAAACCACACTGCGAACAATAAATTGTAATAAATGTTAAAACATTCCAAAAAAAACCTTGAAAATTAAATATACATGTAGCTTGGTATGGAACATATAAAATTATTACAGAAAAAAAAGGAAAATAAATTATTATTTTAAATTATTTAATTTATGACTGTTAATTGTAAGATTTTATTTATTTATTTTTTTTAAATTAGTTAATCAAAGAAGCTTATTTTATGTCTGTTTACACTTTTCCAGGATTTCGTCTGACAAATACAAAATTTATAGCAGTGGTAGATATGTGGAAAAAACTCCAGCATTCAAATTTAGTTCATTTGAGAGAGGTTTTTACAACTAAAGCTTTTGGAGATCATTGTAAGTATTTAATGAAGGCTTTAATGATGGTTTTCTGTTACGTTTGTGTTATTTATTTACTTTACGATGGTGGTCTTTCTTTTAACCTACCATATTAGTGAATTATATCTTTATTGTCAAAGTGTTGAAATATAAGTTTTATCTTAAATAAGATACATATAAAAATGTAGTATATGTAATGTAAAGGCTATATTATCTTATTTCCAAAAGACAACTCTAAACATTTTTTAATATTCACTATGAAATTAATTTAGATGTAGATTGAAATATGTTTTTGAATCATAAATTTTATGATTCAAAAACATAATGTATTAACATCATTTCTTTAATGTTAGTGTATAAATACTTATATGTTTATTAAATTATTATAAATAAAAATTATTAAAAAAGCATAGTAAATGAAGACTTGTCAGCCAAATAGTTTTTTAGTATATTGCCACAGAATAGCATTTTGCATGTCTGTGTCATTCTTGATACATTTTGATTTTTTTCCAATCCATACATCAATATTGATACCTCATGCTTCAAGAATTGATTTAAGTGTATTTGTTATTTTTAAATTATACTTTCTAGTGAATATAGCGAAATTTAATCATGTAATTTTTTTAGATAATTCAGATTTTATGATTGGTGTAGACATAATGATACTTTAAGGACATTTGTACTTCATAAATAACAATAAACATAATAATAAATATATGAGACAGTACAAATAACAACAAATGGCAAACAAACAATTTTCAATTGCATTGCTATTTAAAATCGTTTGCATGTAACAACTACGTTTAAATTTATGTAAATGAAAAATATGGTCAGTCATATAAATGTTTTAAACATACTTGTTATACTCAATGGCTGTCTTTGATTTCAATAACACTTTCATGTCAAAATTTTAAAATACTTTTATTTATTTCATTTACATTATGTAATGAATATTCTTATTCATTTATATTTATTGTATGCTTAATTGTATATTTTCATTTAAGTACATGCACACATGCATACAGTTAGTTTATATCAATAGAGCAATTATAATAGTTCAGGCACATTAAGAAAAATACTGTATCTATTCTCTTGTTTTAGAAATTGCATGAAAATTGAAACATAAAAACTGTTATGTTAAAATAATAATTTTTTATGGATATTTTTGGATATTATGGATATANCCCCCGGTATTAGTGAATAAAATAAATTTTCTGTAAATTATTACTCTAAAATTAAATTTATTTGATGTTTTAGCTTTACCCTGATGATAGCTTATCATTACTATAATCTTTAAATTATCATCATCATTTCCTTTATTTATCAGTTTAATATTGGATTTTACTAGTACATTTAAAGAATTTTAATTTTAAGCCTGTAAAATAATTTATTCAGAACTAAGATCAATAGTTCCTAAGGTGGGGTATAAAAAATTTCTTGGGTGTACAAGAAAAGATCAATATTGATTTTAAGCATGAGTTCATAATTTTAAAACAATAATAAATAGTATAATCAAATAATTTTTTAAATATCTTATTTAATTATGTAGGCTACCTGTTTTTTTCTTATTATCAAGGTCATGCGATCTCTGCTGATCCTCTGGAGGGATCTCACATGATAAGGATTTTAATTTACACACAATGATATTCATTACATTATTTTAAATCTAAAGCTGTAAAATTTTATGATTTCTGTTGTATACAGAGCATACTTTTTTATTTACTAATATAGTGATGTGTGATTAAAGAAATTCTCACTGTTGATTTAGATAATTTTAAAGTTTTTGAATATCTTTGACTCCTACTGTTTTCCTGATAAATATAATTTTATTTTATTTAAATAAATGATGTTGAAATATTTTATAAATAATATGATCACATTTATTTATTATAACTATTTGTAATGCTGACTTATCACAATATTAGCCATGTTAGAAGTGAAGCTGTTATTGTTTTGTTTATTTCAAATATAAGTAATAGAAATGTTAAATTATTGAATTAAAGTAATTTGACATTAGAGGTAGGCATCAGGTGCCATCTCTTAAGTAAATTAATAATTAAAATTAAATAAATAAAAAATAAATTTTAGAACCTTCTGGAATAAAAGAGGATGGCGCCTAACGCCTACCTCTAATGTCAAATTACTTTATTCCAATCATTTAATTATAGCCCGATATTTAGGCGATCGTTTGGTAATTTAATATATACTATTCGGGCTTTGAGTTGTTGTTATTTATATTGAATTAAATTAATTTCTTTTTAATTTTGCTGCTAAACGTAACTAAATTAAAATCAAAAGTACATTGTATCCTGATAATTTTATATTATTACATTGTTTGAAATGANTTTTATTAATTTGATTTAAATAAAATGCAGCATGTACCAAAAAATGGATGTAGTAAAAATGGATGTGGGAAACATGTGCACTGAAACCTAATTTAAATAGCAACATTGTTTTGTGTTGGGTCGTCTAATGGTGCAAGGCAATCTCACTGCTACTAGCTTCTGAATATTGCTGATTGGTTGGGCTGTTGTCTTTCTTTAACATAAGAAGTATATGGAATTAACAATCAGTCTCTCTAATCTGTGGTCAGCTCTTGTCAAGTATCTTGATGATTGTAAACCAAGTTTTGACTGTATTTAAAATACATTCTGTTAAAATAACTATTGTAAAAACAAATTGGATATAATAATAATGAGATAAAATAATGTAAATTTATAAATGAGGCTGTCATTTGTTTAACCAGTTTTCATTAAAAATTCAAAAATTAATTAATTTTCCTAATTGAAGCTGTTGTTTGATTTTTCATTTTTAAATTAAGTACTTACATATGCTAAATATTAAAATTTCCATTTATTTATATTTTATAGCAATAGTATTTGTATATGATTACCATCCTGGTGCTGACACATTAATGAATCAGTATTTTAGTCATACATCTCTTTCACCAATTAATGGATTCCTTCCTGGATTATATACAGGAGATGGTCTTAGTAGATCCTATTCACAAACAAAATCAGGTATGTAACTTTCTAATTTAAAAATTATGATATTAAAGTATAATTTGAATAGAATGTGAAGTTTTCTGAGTTAGAATATTAGGAAATTTTATATTTACAAAATAAAAACTATTAAATGCTTTTAATTTATAACAGAGATAAGTAAATGTAGAGGGTCTTCCAAAATGAATTGTGCCATTTAAATTACTGTAATTACGGTATCTGAGATGTGTTTAATGTAAAGTATGTCAGTTAATAAACTAACTGCCTGAGTTTCATTTCCCATCTGCATTCAGACATTTTGCTGTCTATTACCTCTAGGAATATATGCTGCCATAAACAAAAATAGTGATTCTGCAAATGAGACAGCAAGGTACTTTGTGTTCTGCAGTTTTCAAAGTCAGAATCACTCAATAACATGAGTAATCTGTAGGAGTTGTAAAATTGTGACTAATGTGAGAGGAGTGATAACAGATATTCCATAGTGAATGTAGGAAAAATTTGAGTATTGGATGGATATGTTGTGTGACAGAAGATGTACACACTGAAATATTGTAATGGGCAAATGTAAAATTTGGACATTTTCCAATATTTAAATGTACATTATGACATTCTTGGATAATACAGTAGACCCCCTATAACACTTAAATACGTTCCGCGTTATTCGAATTTTATGTTGTAGGAATCATTAAATACATGAGCCAATCGCAGCCCGACACATGTGAAGTTTACGGACTAAGGCTGTTTTAACTGAAATTAACTGATTCTAGACTAATTCCACTCAACATTTTAAAAACGCGTATAATTTTTTTGGGAATAATCCGTATAAACTATGCTATAAACAAAAAATTGTAGGATTACTTACCGAGTGTGCACCGTTCAACTACGCCGTTGCTCAAGCTTGTTTTCGTTGCGGAACAGCGCACGAAATGGCGGCCGCGATTTCTGATAACAAATTTTTTGCAGAAAAATAACTTGACCTTTGGAGACATCATTAATATAAATAATTTTTATGGCCGTTGAATAAGAAATGTTTTTTTCACAAGAAATGTATAAAATTAGTGCTGTATTAGACTTATGGTACCTAATTTACATACTGTATAGGCAATAATAAACTCAACTTACTAGCCTAAACTCTCTGTAGCGTGGCGCTAGATGGCGGAAATTATATATATAATTATAATAAAGTTACAATAAATTAAGTTAATATATAATTATATATACAGTACCTAATTTATATATNGAATATTGTTTAATTTTATAAAATCTTGTTTTAGCACCTCATTAATGTAAACAAGCTGGATGAGGGATCTTAAGCTCCGAAACACAGAGTATGTACAGGTGAAATACCAGGTGAACAATAAAAGATTGAGAAAACTTATTCAAGAAAAACAATTTGCAGAAACTGGACATCAGTACAATAAATCCTAATAATACGATATGTCCTAGTAGACATTTATATAATAAATTTACATAATAATTGAATGTTTTTGATAACTGTGATATTCATCAAAGAATGTAAATAAATTACATCATCAGATTTAAAGTGATATATTTAATTTATAAATATACAAATAAACAAGCAAAAATTATTGTGACATTGTCACAATGCCAGGCTGCAATTTTTAATCATGTTTTTAATTAATTTAATTTAAAATATATGCTTTCCATCTCAAATTAGTAGTGTCTTGCCCCTGTACTGTACATCATACTTTTTATGATGACAAGGTCATTCCAATTATTTATATAATTCTGTTCTGGGAAAAATTTTTGAATTGAAGCCACGTGACTTCCAGTCTAGACTGGAAGTGTTATGGACAAAGTGATTAATACGGGCATTATGAATAATGACCAACAAAATCGGGCATTGTAATAAATTTCAATAATTTATCAAATTGACCAGTCATTATGAATAGTGCTACCACCTAGTTGGGCAAAGTGATAATAATATGTTGAGGAGTGGTCATCTGACATAGATAGCCAATCAGAACTTACATCTTACTTGCTCACGCGTATTGCATTTAGTACCGAATTTTAAATTTATGTGACCAGTAGTTAATCTTTCTTCTTTGACAAAAGTAACGATCATGGAGGAATCATTAAGTGATATGAATAATCGCTTCAACAACCGATTAAACGAGCTAAAAACAAAAGGGCTAAAGAAGTAGCATATATTCTTTTGGTTTTTTTTA